GCCTCCCTGTCTCTAGAACATATCAGGAGAAGTAATGTCAGGGTCATGGCACAGTCTCGCACCAGCCGAAATTCCAGCTGTTTCTATTGTCTCATGGCAAATCCTACCTTCCCTTGCTGGGCAGAGGTCCCCGATGCTAATCAAAGTAGTGAGGGTCTCATAATGGCTGGTCAGGGGAGCTCTGCAAATGCCAGGTGTGTTGGGTGAGTGGGCTCTGCAAACTGCTTTGTAGGCAGTAACCTAGCAGGCTTCCCAATAAGAAAGAGTCCTTGTGTCCTGCCACCAGTGTACTTGGCACAGTAGAATATCAGAATCCGAATCCCCCCTCAGCCTGCAGTCCCAATGTGCAGAACAGCAGACACATCAGGCAGAGGGTGAAGGTGAATTTGTATCACTTGAATATACTGTGGTCCCACTCCAACACTGGGTTCCCCTAGAGCACCTTGGGACTAACTGGGACTAACATATCTGGGAACAGGCAACTCAGAGGGAATTGCTCGCTCAAGGCTGCTTCTGTGCCATAGGTTGTGGGAGGTTGTTCCGTTTTGCTTTGTCCTAAGTCTGTTGCTGTGTGTATTGGCCCTGGGTCCATTTCTTGCACACTAATGGGAAAATAGATACTTTCACCTTGAAACTAAATGCCTATGACTTTTTTTGTTTGTTTGTTTGTTAAAAATGGCAAGAGCCCAAATAAAAAGCAGGAAATTGTGAGCTCACACTGAGCTGGAAATGAAGAGCACTTATTTATCTTGGCTGCAAGAAGATACTCATAAAACCAAGGGAGGACTCAGTGCAGATCCCACATAACAGACCCTGGGCTGCCTTAAGCACTGGGTAAGGCCATAAACAGTGGGCAGCACTGGCCATGGCTGCCGGCCACCAGGGATATGCCTTCTTCCCAGAACATGGTGAGAGGAGTTTCAGTAGCCCATTGCCGATCGTCATTCTGTATCCTGGAGAATTCTGCTGTCCACACTGAGTGCACACAGCCTTGGGAGGAGTTTCCAAGAAGGGTGGCAGCGCTGGACATCCACTACAATACATGAAGGCAGGCCCCCAGCATTCCTTCCTCAACTCTACACAGCTCAGGCCTCAGCTGGCAAGGAAGATATACACCTGACCTCTGTAGGGATGATGAGGCTCCTGAGGCTGGAACTATATCACTTGTTCCTTGGGACTGTGGAAACACTCCTCTTGGGAACTTCTGCCCAGGCTGTGGTGCTGTGAAGGGTGTGGGATGTGGCCAGGAGTCTGGACCCTTGCCTATCTGACTTGGTGCCCCTGAGTGGGTTGGGTTCTCTGTGGTTCTGAGTTCACTCATGACACTGAACACACTGTTTCCCTGAGCAAAGAGAGGGGCAGAGCATGTGAAAACACCAGCCAATGTTAACATCTTCACCTTTTATACCTGACACCCCCAAGAGCTCTGCTGGACTCCTGCTGCCATGCACCACAGGAGCAGATACCCCTTGATGCCTGGTCAGCCTGGTAACACACAGGGACTCCCCCAATCCTCAGAGGCACTTTTCCCAGAACAAAGCATTCTGTGGAGTCACCAACAAGTGATTCCCTCAGATGCACAAAACCATCACAGAGACACAGAACCATGGCTATAAAATGTGGGAATCTCCAAAGGGACCACCCTGTGCTCATAGTGTCCTATGTTCTGCAATGTTGGTTTACACACCGACAAGAAATGCAGCAATGGGCCAAAGTCCTTGAGAGTAGGAAGTGGCACTACTATCCCTAAAAGATGTGGGTCTGAGAGTATCCTAATGGGAAATATGTGAAGAAATAGCTATAATCAATTGCTATGGAAGGAAAGTGTGCTAAAGAGGGAAGTGGACTAAACAATCTCCCTTTTGGAGTGTCCATATATACTTTTTTCTCTTTTCTTTCTAGAAAGTATGATAAGGGCCACACACTGAATTCAGACAATCAGTGCCCACATGGGCCACCACTGCCAATTAAAATGTTGAGGCATTTACATCCATAAAAACACATTCATCTTACACAGGGGTAAATATTTTCTTTCTTGATGAGTATGTGTGAGTGTGGCACTGTGAGCTCTGATATTTCTGAACAAATGAGGTGTTTGAAGGGAGATGCCAGTGTATCCTCTGAGTATCATAGTGGGGCAGCTCATGTGGAGGAGCTGGGTGACAAAGAACATGCCAGTGCAAGGCTTGGAGATCCCAGGGATGAGGACCATGAATCACAGAGGACAGGAAGCATAGCCAGCTGTGCTGCTCCTCCTGAACCACAGAGAACTTCTTCCCCCACTCCCCAGAGACACGGACCAAGAGGCACTATGTTCATCAGACCCCAACTGAGGCCCCCACGCATCAGGGCAGGAGGCTGGGGATAGCTTGTGCATGGACACAGACTTCTTGTCACTTCCATTCACCTTGCTACTGCAGGGACCTGACAGGTAACCACTGGGACCTCTGAGAAGAAAAGGAATCAAGCAAAGGTAGCCTACCTTGTGAACATGGACTGCTCTCCTGAATGGTAGGTGTCCATTTTGTTGGTGTGTAAATAGATGGGGAAGAAGGCAGTGAGCAGCACATTTCCATCCTTAGAATTCCCGTGATTCTCAAGATAAAAGCAGTTGAGGGCACGAGGCTGGCAGCCAAGGCAAGGAAGCTGCAGGGTGAGAAGGAGAAATGTCAGAGAAAGCATCAGGGATTTTGTGTAAGATCCTAGGAGGCAGGGGCAGGGAACAGGCATGATGAGGCAGGTGCACGCAGGCATCATGTGTGTGTGTGTGTGCGCGCTGCCTATGTACTGGAGGGGCCACTTTAATACTCTCGCAGCTGCAGTTGAATCCTTTCAGATTCCCTAGAGGACTGGGGAGCTCTCCTGACCCTGGGGCACCTGCTGCTGTGGGATCTCATCCAGGTGAAAAACACAAGATGGAAAATATATTTGCTCGGCATCCTCATCAGCCCCAGGTGCCATCATGTCATCCAATTCCATGGACAGGAATACTCTGGGGAGGAGTGCCCATGAGATCTGGGCCAGAGAGATTGTCAGGGAACCACTTTGATGATCCAAGTGGTCATGAAAGGCGTTGGGTGAGATCATGCAGGAACATTCTAGCTTGAAAACTCCAAAAGTCCAGAAGAAGAGGAAGCAGCTGTACAGCTTGCTCTGCTGTCCACTCTGATCTCACACCAATGCTGGGTGAGGAAATATGCACATGAACATACCTCTCCCAATGACTGTGGAGCCATACATCAGTTTTTAAAAGACTTGTTTATTATTATTAAAAAGGGGATTTATGTAGAGAAGAGATCAAAAGAAAGAGATCCTCCTTGTGTTGATTCCCTCAAGAAACCAAAAGGAACAGAGATGTCAAAGTGATTTGGAGACAGGAAGGCATCTGACAGAATTCTAGAGTGCTGGCCAACGCTTTTTAAAACACAAATCCTAGAAAAGAAAGGCTGATATTCTTTAAAAACAATCTGTGTGTCTTTGTAAATCTGACTTTCCAATAAAAATTATTGAATCTTAAAGAAAAAAAAGCCAACAAGCCAACTTTTTCTACCTTGCAACACTGGCCCCATGCCCCTGTGGAACATCCCCATTAAATCATCAAATGAAGGCAAAAAGAAAGTGTTCCAGAGCAAACCAGAAAGCAAGTGTTTGTCACCACTTATCTGGCATTAGAGATCATGTGCTGCACAAAGACACTCGTGTATCTGAAAAGCAGCAGATGACAGACTAAGTGTTTGGGCACCTGCAGTCACATGGGGGACCTGGAAGGAGCTCCTTGCTCCTGGCTTCAGGTCAGCCCAGCTCCAGCTTTAGCAGCTATTTGTGGGAATGAAGCTGTAGGTCAAAGATCTCTCTGTATCTCTCTTTGTCTCTCTAACTCTGACATTCACATAAATACATGAATCTTACACAAAAGCTCATGACCATGATTGCAATGTAAACAGGGCTTTAAAATGCACAAATATAGTCTTCCAACATTACCAAATTCATTGAAGATTCATCCATTTACCTGAGGTTTACTTGAACCATTATAACACCTGAAATCTATTATAGCTTCATATGTTGCTATCAGTATATTTCCCCATTCATTTATTTATTGTGATAAGCTTCAAGAAACATTTCAGAAAATGTGGCCAGATCTAACTCCTTGTGTATGAACAACATCATGAAATAGAAAACACCACGCAGAGAATGGGAGATGCCCACAAAGCATGCCAGAGATCACCTGGCATCAAAATATGCTTACAAGTAGGAGCAACGACACCAACAACAGAAAGAAAACCACTGACAAGGGGATTAGAAGCTGGATATTTCTTTAGAGGGAAACATATGTCCTAAAACCAGCATAAAACCTACTAATCATCAGTAATGATAGATGTATCCATCAAAGCCACATGGAGATAGTACCTCACATACACCAGGTAAGATACCATGACATTTACAAATGGAGCACCTCACATACACCAGGTAAGATACCATGACAGTTAGAAATGGAGAGCAAGAACTACACAGGCGACTGGTGTCATTCAGGGAAATGCATCGCCCACATACGATGAGGATGGAAAGAGACACGATGAATACAGCTCCAAACACTTGGATCCTCTTCAAGGAAATATAAATCACCTAGGACCTAACCATTCCATTTTCAGGAGTGTATCCAAGGGAACTGACAAAATCTATTCAAACCAATGTTCACCAGTATTCACAGCACCCCGCACCAAACAAATTTACAAACACTCTGCCTATCTACTTGTGCAGAAACAAAATGGACCCATGTAACCAAGTTGCTATTTCTTCGTGAGACGTGTAAGGGATTCTTGGTAACATGTGGATGACACCAGAAAGGAAGATGCTAAATGAAAGAGGGCCAACCTCACGGGTCACAGAGCACTTGGTGTGACTGGCAGGATATATTCAGTACAGTGAACGTTGTAGAAACAGACATTGAAAGCAGATTGGTGGCTGTGTGACTGAAGAGCATAGAAATGGACAGTGACAGCCTAAGGGACAATGGAGTCATTCACAACCACTAATAGTCGATGGTTTTCCAACACGTGATTTGTCCCGTCAGCAGGACAGTTCACGAGGGTTGCAACCACTTAGGAGAGAATGGGGGACAAGAGACACGAAGAATAGACAGCAAGACAGGATGTCTGATCAAGCTGTCAGTTTATTGATTTTAATTGAGGGATTTTATATTCTTTAGCAACTAAGGCTCAGGGAGGAAAGGAGAAACTGGGATGCAAGCCATGGTCTCCAGACCGATTGTTCTTGAGCAGCCACCATATCAACCATAGTAACCAACATATTAACAATAGCATAGGTAATCAGTAACAAGATGTTGGCAGGTACAGCATAAATCACATTCTGAAACAGTGGCTAGAAACAATTGAAGCTAAGCATGTGATTAGTTTCATAACTTCTTTCCCAAGCATCTAGCCAGGAGGGAGTTTTCCACTGGCCCACAGTTCTATATTCAAAATGGCTTCAGTGTGGTTACAGTACACGGCTCCTGACAGTGATTTGCTGTGGATGACGTGATTTCTTCAGGTTAAGATGATCAAATGTTGGTTCTATCAATCTCACCTGAAGATGTAAACTAGGTTTTTTTAAGGGTAGTGTAGGGCAAAACAAAAACAAAAACAAAAACAAACAAACAAAAAAACCCACAAAGGCAAAATCTTTGCATAGAATGAGTCGATGGAAGAGTGCATGTCCTTAGGACTATTTACATAATGATAACTTGGTTCCACGACAACAAGAGCATAACAAATCTATGATAATAATATTTTGTGGAGGAATTTATGGACAATATATGATACGTGTGTAAGATAACTGTGTATGACAAGCCATGCATTCAGCAAAACAACAATGATTCTAAAAAGATCATTTTAATATCAAGACTAATGGAGAAATATCGGGACAATGTGAACGTGTGGCTGATCCTCTGAGGAGGCCAGGACCCAAAGTGTGATGACCATAATGAGAAAGATAGGGACACAGGAAATATAAGATGAGTGAAGCAAGCACATTTTATTGAACTCAACGGCATATATATATATATATATATCAGGCAGGTGACCTAGGCAACCACAGAAAACCCTGCTAAAGTTAGCCAACAAGGAAATGAAGTTACAGTCACTGTAACAGCAAAGGAGTAAACATGTTTTCCAGGAGTGGATTCTAAAATTCAAACCTACTAACTGAGGAAGGGGATATGGTCAGCTACAAGCAACTAATGAGAAAGGAGGCACATTGAGGCGCTGCTCTTTCCCAGCCATGCTTGGCCAGCAAGGCAGCCACAGTCCCACACAGTAAGTCAGCTACCTGGTAGCACACTCAGTAAGCTGATAGTGTATTAGTTCGGGGGTCTAGGGCATCTGATGGGATGGTTCAGAGGTGCACTCCACATGAAAGCTTACCTATTTCATTAAAATAAGAATAATGAGTGTCTTTCAGTTAGGAATAAGGAAAACAGACAAAAATGAAAAGTTTGAGAGCCATCTTAGTCCAAAATGGGGTAGGTACCACCACTGAACCAGCAGGGGAGAATGGGATGCTGAGCTGCCTTTAAAAGGAGGAGGATGTGATCACCAATGCACTGTCAGCTGGATCTATAGTATCAGAAGATGAAGTCAGAGTTGTGTCTGATTTGGTTCACATTCCTAAAAATGTGAGAGAGCCTTAGGAGATGCTCTTACCATGAGTATTCCTGAATCCATTCAGAGATTTCTTTTCAGGCCATAGGAGAATGTAACATTTGGGGACAAAGATGCAGTCCAGGAGACAAGCACCATATGCCAAGATGGAGAAGACCTCCACGGCCACCATGACCTTCCCCTTGGTGCTCTGGTACACAGGCAGGAAGGTCACCCACACACTGCAGAACACCAGCATGCTGAACATCAGGAACTTGGCTTCATTGAACGTGTCAGGCAGCTTCCTGGCAAGGAAAGCCACAGTGAAGGTGCCCAGGGCCAACGAGCCCAGGAAGCCCAGCACACAGTAGAAGGCAGTGATGGAGCCCTCGTTGCACAAGAGGATGATGTGTCCATGCTCAGAGTGTGCATCTGTGTCCACAAAGGGAGGAGATGTTGCCAGCCAGATGGCACAGAGAGTCAGTTGGATGAGGAAGCAGATGGGAATGACTGCGTTTGAGGCTCCTGACACCAGCAATCGCCTCATGGTCCTTCCAGGCTTCATGGCCTTGAAGGCCAGAACCACAGTGATGGTTTTGGCCAGCACAGCAGAAACAGCCAGTGTGAACACCAGGGCAAATGTGATTTGTCTTAGGAGGCAGGTGGCTGTGTTGGGATGGCCAATGAAGAGGAAGGAGCAGAGGAAGCAGAGGAGGAGTGAGATGAGCAGAATGTAGGTGAGGTTGCGGTTATTGGCCTTGATGATGGGTGTGTCTTGGTACTTCACAAAGATTCCCAAGACTGCAGCTGTGACCACAGCCAGGGAAAGAACCATGCAGGCCAGAGCCATCCCCAGGGTATCCTCAAACTCCAGGAATGTCACCAGCTTGGGGAGGCACTGAGTTCTCTCCGTGTTTAGGTACTCCTGCTCTGGGCACTGGATGCACTGCTGTGCATATGTAGGAAAGAAATAGACTCATGATTTTCATTGCAGTACCTGAATCTTTCTTTGCTGGGAAAATGTTCAATCTACAATGACCCTTTGTGCACAGATTGCCAGGGTGTTCTATTATGTCACGTGAGAGCAAGTTTCTTCATTTCCGACCCTAGGGAATTCTCATCTGCAGCCAAAAATATTTATTGAAGGAAACCGCTCCTCCACCATGGGTTTAAACTTTTAAATTTGCTGAAGAATCAAATGGTCTCTCACTTCTATCATATCCACACTCTCAACAGGACTCTAAATTCAACCATGGACTCATTCTTGGCATTCTTCCATTTAGAGGCTGGGATAACATGAGTGAAAAATGTGTCGCTCTATTGTTAACATGAGATTATTGTGCTTAGTGCTATTTTCATCAACATTATTGCATTTTATAATTGTTAAAGCTTTCTTTCATGTTCACATGGAGGCATGTGTTATTCAGCTTTTTGGTTCACATCGAGTATCAGGAACACCCAGTGTGTGGGACAACATATTATGTCTTGAAACCGATCACTGAGGCTTCTACAACATGAAAGACACCAAAGGGCCAGGTTTTACGTGGGTGTGTCTCTGCATCAATGAAATATCAATGAAATGTTGAGAGAGTTGTTACTTGGGTCACATTGCTTTGTGGTCTTCTTCCTGTTTGAAATATTGTGACTGCTGGGATGATTGGCATTGGGACATTGGATAAAATCTGATAATTTATCTATACGTACATTTGTCTATGATATTTAGATCATAAAGGTCTTTCTCAGTGCATCTTAGTGCACTTTCATGTTTATCAATGCGTTTTATTTGGTTAGTTAATTCCCATATCTTTGACTTGTGGCAAAATCTTAGGATGACCAAAATGCACATGTTTTTGCATTTGCTACACATTCATTTTTCTCTGTGTTTAGTTTTACTCTTATTCTATCATCTACTTCTAAATGACAATCTTGGGTATAGGTTGAGTTATTCGCATGTGCACAATGTCAAGGATGTAACCAGCAAGTAATACGATAGCTCCCTAACAGTGTATGTTCAGTAGCTCCATGTTTGTCAGTAGTGTATGAAAAAGTGTTCATTTCGTGCATTCTAGGAATCCACACACAGTCGTGATAAACACACACTTGCTGCTTTTTTAGACTTCAGTGTGATTTACTCTAATGTCTTGGATGAGACTGTGTCATGCAGCAGTGGATGATAATGGAGGCTCCCTAACAGAATCAATGTGTCAGGTGAGCACTGTTAGGTAGTAGGTTGTCGCTGTCCCGCAGCGACGGACTTGGTGCATGGAGCCGATAATAACACGCGTGGACCCTGACTGATGGTCAAAGCCGAAGTTTATTAGGGGCATCAGACTTTATACTCTGAGAGTCCATACTGGGTAGGGGAGGAAGTATCGAGCTCATAAACAAAACCATCAACTGTTTTCGCACTCTAGATTGGAATTACTATTGTCTTTACATCGCGCTAGGTGTTCTCATTTGCATGCTGTTTACTCGACCCATGGGAACTATCTCCCAACAGGTATGCAAAGATAGCCATTTGGTTGTTTCCATGCAAATACTGCCCAATGAACTGCAATCCTGTGCTGCTGGATTTCCAGGCTCACAATGTCCTCCTACAAATCCCCCTTCTGTGTTTTATAAAATTAAGCCTGAAACTTGTAGCTGGGGGAACATGCTCTTGGAAGAGCAGAAGAATGGGGAGAAACAATGTTATATATGTTATAACCTAAATCAGAGTTGCACAGGAACAGTGAACAGTTAACATCCATCATATGTAACAGCTGAGTATAAACTTAACATCATAGTTTCTATACAGTTGGTATTAACAGTTGATGAAAGTTTTGGGGAGGATCTCAACTTACAATTTAAGCCTTGCCATTTATCTTATAATTCTACCAAATCATAGAAAAGTGTTAGGCAGGTGAGCAGGGAATTCTCCAACAACCTAGTGAGTGAGGAAGAATTTAACTCTATATCCTAACCTAATAAATCCATAAAAAGCAAATAGGGAGCCTGACCAGTAAGTACAGGCTGAGTGATTATAAGTTAGCTGACCTTTATTAGTCTCTAGTATCTAAAATAATTTTGGGGCTCACAAGCAACCCTGATGGTCGGTGTAAGAGAGGGCTGGGAACCACAGCTGGAGCTAGGTAAGAACTAGAGCAAGCTCCTCCTCTGAGTCCAGTTGTCTCTGAGTGCCACCCGGGGCTCCTGGCTGAAGTTCCGATGTCACCAGACCCTATCATGAGGGAACTGGGCTGCTTCAATCCCGTGTGGGAAATTCACTAGGAAAGGACTGACCTCAGAGTTCTCGGCCTCCAAGGGCACTCACCTTCCTTGTAATCCCCTTGGCAGTCGGGATAAGGTCCTCCTTGATGAGGCAGGCATCCACTGCTTCTGTAGTGAAAGCACATGGGAGACCTCCGGGGGTCTCTGGGACTAGGATAGAGAGCCCCTCTTATCCTCCTGCTCTGCCTTGAGATCCCTTCCTGCTCTGTACACACAACCTCCTTTAAGAGGGTGTTAGAGTCATCCTTGGATCCCACCACAAATTAATATGGCTTTTCTAATGTCTAAGGCAGTTAAGAATTTGTTATCTATGAATAATAATTTACACTTAAAGTCTTCCTTAAACATCCTAAGAAGGTGGAGAATTTCTCTGCACTCCTGACCTGTAGTGGAACAAGCGGAATATTAAACAAATTTAGTTTTCAGTTCTTAGAGGCAGTTCCACTGGGGGTTCCATCTTCTCCAGGGGCAGCGTTGCGTTGAAGGGAGTTGTTGCACTTCCAAGGTCAGATGAGCCATAGGGAAACCACAGTTTTGAAGATCTATCAGGAAATTCTAAGGATAAGAGCATAACCTTTCCCATAGATTATTAGTGTTCCACAGTATCAATCATTCAGTTGTCTTATCAAATACATCATGTTAGGGACAGTTGTGCTTGATGCACCAATCTCTTAGAACCTTCCATGTCACCTGGTATTGGGAGGGGTCTGTCCTCCTCCTCCAATATTTCCTTGATGGTGATGGATCTTTCAGGATGAGGTCGTGAAGCTGTCTTACTGCAGGCGCTTCCTCCAGTGAATGGAGTCCAGGACTTTACAAGTAGGCATCCACACAGGTTGCAGCTCAGTTTCTGGGAAAATAAGCATATCCTCTTCCCACAGCTAGCAAGGGGTCAGGACCTCTACACTTGTGAGTGGCTAGGTCCCTCCATCGAACCAAAGACATCTGCGTTGGGCCTGCAAACTGCCTCCAGTAATACAGAGCTGCTGCTTACTAGAAGGCAAAATCTGAAGAAAATTTAAGGTGAATAAGACCAAACTAATGCACGCACAGGGGTAGCATATTCCCCCCTTTGATTTTAAAACATATATTGTTGGACAAAGTAAATTAGATTTAGTAACAGTTTAAAATAATGCAGATACTTTTACAATTCTGTCAGAAAGCTCTGGGGAGTGGCTGCAGGTTGCCATAGTCCTGAGACAACCTGTTCTTGTAGATAAACAAACAGCAACACATGATAACAATTTTAAACAACTTTTACAAAAGACAAAATGTTAAGACACACATGTATGCGCGCACACACACACAGACACACACACTTTTGGAGACTTAAAATATTATTCTCAACCAAGCTTAGTAGTAGTGTTCACCAGAAATCTGTAAGTGAAATGATATTAAGTCAATAATCTTGAACCAAGAAACTCAGTGAAAAACATTGATTGCCGCTATGAAATCCCTCTATCAATCTAAAAATGCAAATTTCAGTTTTCCCAGTAATATAGGCATCCTAGGAATACACAGTTAACAACCAGATATAACTTTAGAGCTAAATCATTAAAAGCATGTAAACTAAATTTAAACCTTCACAATTCCATGGAAGCATACACCATTTTGACACAATAAAATTTTACTCCATGTTGCATTTGGCAATAATCTTAATATAATTCAATAGTCTGGTCAACTGTCTCCACGAAACAGGAGATAGATCCGTTGGCATTCTTGAGGCCTCGTAAGAATACCAAGGGAAGCCCTAGGATTTGAAACCTTTGAATACTTAAATGCTTTTTTAAAGGTATCTAAAAATATCTGAAAGAAGATTTGTTGTTGAAGTTAGCATGACACATTATACATTACAATTGGTTATAACCTTGACACATTAAAGGCAGTGAGAGATTTGATAACTAGCCAAAAGCACAAGAATTACATTAATACATGCAAACACTTTGTAGATGATATCACATTAATTTAACTTATAGCTTGAAATAATCTAACAGTGTGTTACAGTTCAATTCTATACCAAAATTACGATAAAATTTCACTCCTTTTTAAAAAATGTCTCCCCAAAAAACCTTCAAGATTTACAAAAGCCCAGTCTTTTCTTTGAATTCCAAGTTCCCAAAAGTTGCAATGGATAAAACATTCCAAAAGACATGCAGTTACAACCTGGGTACATTAACACAAAAACAGCAAACTTTCACCTTATAACGATATGATGCTGTCGCCCAAATACTCTTTAAAGCAAGAACATCACTTTGTTAATTTTAAACAATAAGAACTTAATGAGACAGAGAACATAACTTAATGTAAAAACTTGTACTTAAAAATTGGCATACATGATTAAGCAATGCTGTGTAGAAAAAGTGCTATATGAATAACATGCATTCACCACAATTGATTGGAATTTCAGCCTCCAGGATTTACTTGCTGGCTGTTTTAAGTTTGAAGCTTCTCTGCAGGCACAAATTGAAGAGGGCATTCCTGTTTTGTAAACCTCTGGATGTTTGGGACCTGGGAATGGCTTCTCCAGGAGTCTTCTTGCCACAGGCATCTGCCACCATGATCAAACTTAGATTTACATTCTTTTTTCCAGTGCTGGCCTCTTTGGCACTTAGGACATATTCCTGGGGAGTGACTGTTAAAAGTATTAGCGTGGTATCTTTGAGTTGTAGGAAGCATCCG